TGGACATCAGCTTGTTAACCCTGTCGAAATCCCACTGACAGGACTTACTGTCGCGACACTTGGAAGGCCGAGCACCCTGACTGCCAAGAGGACTTGGCCGCCTTCGAGGCCTATTGGAAGGGCTTCACCGAGGGAGAGAAAGGGTGCATTATATGATATCTGTGGATGATAGCAGTTCCTGATTCATTATGGATGTGTTCATAGAAGTTCAATAATCTTGCAGCTAAGGCAGTGAGTGTACGGATTTATAGGAGAGTTACTTGGCATACTAACAGCAGTGCAGAAGTGTCAGCTGAATCAGACAGCGGCGAGCATGGCATAAAGTCAGAAACGTCACATTCACATCATCTCGTGCTAACTAGCTGGAAATCACCATGCAGATACGAGCGGTGAGGTGAAGAGAGCTGCATAGATGGGGGTATTTATGGGTATGTGGTGTGCTACTGTATGAGATGCAGAGGGGAGGTGACCTGGGTGTGTAACCGTAGATAGCAGTATATCTGGGTGTGTCACAATTTATGAAGAGAAAATTGCGTAGATGGGGGTGCCTCACAGTCCAATACACCTACCGTGGTCTACCAAGTCGAGCACAGTAGATTTGAGTCAACCCGGGTAGATGTGATATTCACTGGGGTTTGCTAGCTGAGGCAGCCTTTCAAATGTAGTCCCCAAGCTTTAGCATCATCAAGTGAGCCACAACTCGCAAGTAAACTTTGTGGCGGTAAAGCATCTGCGTGGCAGCTGTTCATATTGATCATGCAAGTGCAATGCAGCAAGGAGGGTTAGGACATAAAGCCTTCTGTACGTGGCACTAAGCACTGCACATGTGCACTCAACTCTAGGGAGAGATTCATTGAAAATTCACTGCATACCGGTCTAATGCCAAGCAGCTTACACGCATTACCCAATCAGCCAGATCACTATTCTGGTAATACGTTTTTAGTAGCTCAAAGCCATTCGACGGTCTAAGCGGAAAGAGGTGAGTATCGGTCACAACGCAACAAGGTCCACTGAGTACTCACAGCTGGCGGCTTGGATGAAATGTCGTAAGTAATACGATTGACGCCCGCGACCTCGTTTGTGATACGCGACGATATCCTGCGGAGGACGTCGGTGGGGAAGCAGTACCAGTCCGCGGTCATAAAATCCTCTGACTGGACCGCGCGGAGCGCGATGACTTGCTCATACGTCCGCTTGTCGCCCATGACGCCGACCGCCTTGACGGGTAAGAGGACGGCGAACGCCTGGCTGATCTCATCGTAGAGGCCTGCCTTCCGGATTTCAGAGATGTAGATGTCATCCGCCTTCTGCAGAATCTGCACCTGTTCTAGCGTGACGGGGCCGAGGATGCGGATCGCAAGACCGGGGCCCGGGAAGGGGTGGCGCTGGACGAGATGTGCAGGGATGCCAAGCAGACGGCCGAGCGCGCGGACCTCGTCCTTGAACAGCTCGCGCAGGGGCTCGATAAGCTTGAGCTTCATGTCCTTGAGCAGACCGCCGACGTTGTGATGCGTCTTGATGGTCGCGCTGGGACCCTTGAAGCTGATGCTCTCGATGACATCAGGGTAGAGCGTGCCCTGGAGCAGCCATTCGACACGGCCCTTCTTCTCAGCACCCTTAAGCTCCTCCTCCTCAGCTTCCTTTTCGATCCGCGTAGCCTCACGCTCGAAGACGTGTATGAAGGTGTTGCCGATGATCTTACGCTTCTGCTCGGGGTCCTCGACGTCCTTGAGCTTGCCCAAGAACTCCTCCGAGGCATCGACGACTGTCAGCTTGACACCGAGGTCCTCGGAAAGCATCTTGTGGACCTGAGCAGCCTCATTCAGACGCAGGACGCCGTTGTCGACCATGATGGCATGGAAGCGATCGCCAATTGCCTCGTGCATGAGCTTGGCAGCAACGGTGCTGTCCACACCACCGCTGACCGCGCCGATGACACGACCCTTTAGCCCACAGATTTCTCGTATCCGGGAAATTTCCTTGCCAATGAACTCTTCCTGTAGCAAGACTCAGTTTTCATTCTCCTCGTTAGAGACTTAAAAAAGATGCACCATGGTCCAGTGAGGCTGGCACTGGCAAATGTTAAGGACGAAACGGCCGATAACCTCCTTTCCTCGTTTCGAGTGCGTGACCTCTGCATGGAACTGAATGCCGTAGAATGGCTTTGAGTTGTGAGTGACGGCGGCAAAGGGGGCAGTCTGAGTGCGACCGATGACATGGAAGTCTGACGGCAGAGACGAGAGCTGGTCTCCATGCGACATCCAAACCTAAACATAAACATCGCGTTCAATAGAATTGGAAGAGGAATCTTGATAGGTACACGTACCTGCATCTCATCGCCCAATCCCTCGAAGAGGGCATCCACAATGGAGCCGCTGGACTGGGCCTCGCCCTCAAACTTCACGACTTGCAGCTGAGCAAAACCATATTCCCGGTGATCGCATTTCGAAACAGCGCCCCCCATATTCCAGGCCATCTCCTACTTAGAAGAGTCGTCAGTCGTGGGACATCTGAGAGTAGAAATCTGCGAACCTGGAGACCATAGCAAATACCGAGAACGGGAACACCCAGCTCAAACACTGCAGGGTCAACGTGAGGAGCATCCGAATCATAGACAGAGTACGGCGAGCCAGAAAGAACGACACCTTCCCAGCGAGTGATTAGCCGCCGTAAAACTAAAGAGATCTCATTAGGCATACCCTTGGGCTTGAAATTCAAATCCTTGATCTTCTGGGTGCATGGCATCAGCTCAGCGTAGACCTTGAGCTCACGACATCTCCTCGTAATGAGATGGCTGTACTGGAGATGAATCTCGTCAGAAGTGTCTCAGAGTGCGGCATCGGCACCCCAACCTGTGAGCCAAAGTCGAGGATAAGAATCGTATCAAACTGGTCGTGAATCTCGGTCATCGTCGCGGTCGTCGTGCAAGCGTTTTTTGGTCAGGTGCTGATGCGCGCATGCTCATATTCAGTATTATCCCGCCCATCTGTCAGCGTCTAATCACATCCCGCTTCAAACTCCGAGAGATAAATACTGTCGGCCGGATCGACTGCTCTATTCACGGTCTCCGGCCAGCAAAGTCCGGACACCCCGCCGCGAGTGATATTCGGATTCAACGCAAAAATTCAGCATCGTGTAAAGCAGTATCTGTTACCATTTATCAATATTAGCGCCAACTTCCCATGGTATGGACAAGCGAAATCCCTTGAATTTTTGGAAAGGATTTCTGCACTTATTGCGTGAAGGTGGCGACCTCCTAAATCGACGACTTGCACCTTACGATCATCGCGCCATCACCGAGGGTTACTTCAAATTATCCATAACTGAGCAACTATCATGGCCCCTCCTCAGCAGCCCCAACCACTTCAGTATCTCACTCCTAGCACTCACTCCCAGCTCTGAGATTACTCTGCAGCACTCCCAGCATGGCAAGACGTGCGCCACAATTATACCCTAGCACAAAGCCGACATGCCAAATCGTCCTGGTGAAGCATGCACACACAACTAAGCTGCTCGCTGTGCTCAGACACGCTGTACATTGTTAAGATCTTCAATCCCCGTCATATGCATGGCTCTGACAACCCATAGTGCTACATCGCCGAAGCCAAGCTCACACTCATGGCAGACAGCTGCAGTTCAACCTGAAGAAGTGGCTAAGTATATTGCCCGAACCCTACAAGGCGACCTCAGAGGAATGAGAGCTAGTGTATTTCTAGGTTATGGCGTGGATATACCATAATGAGTGCCTCGTGAACAAGCACCTTGCATGTCTCCAGGGATCTGACACACCAATCTTCCACAGGTCTGGCACCCTGGACCTATCTGGAGCCAAACATCCTCATGCTGTCAACCTGTTCATTATTTTCTTGGAGTACATCTGTAATGCTATCCCGCCCATCACAATTGACTCTTCAGGAGCCTTCATGTCCTATCGATCTGCTAATGTGCTCTGTCACAAAAGCCACAGGGTCATTCATGTGGATGCAAATGAGGAGAGCTTTTCCCTTGTCCCTGCACACAAACTGAACAACTTGTGCTCACCAACTTTGCAAATTCTTGGACCCAGGATGCAGCTGATGATGAAAAGGGCCGGAAGGAGGCAAAGCTTGAGTGGAGCATTGCACACACACGTAAGGTCATGCTTTTCAAATTCAAGGACACCGGCCTACCTGTCCATGATGTTGCCAAGTTGCCATGTAGTCATTAGTATTATATCCTCAATTGCTCGCAGACAGTGATGTCAATTGGTTGTCGTTAGTGAATCCCAGCTGAACCATGACGTGACTGATCTTCTTGGAAATAGCATGCTGCAAGTGTTCCCGATCCTCATTAAAGTCAGACTCTTCGTGGACAACCATGTTATACAGGGTGATGCAAAGCTCAGCAACTGCAAATGTGCATGATTGGCCTGAGGTGAGATCCCAGAAGAGCAAGTTCTAGTGACTGACAGTCATTGATATAAACGTGAAGTTTGAGGGCAAGACCTTTCCTGACCATACCAGCTCCAACTCTGTTGACAGAGGCCTTAATGAGCATGGGGATCTGAGACAAGTATGAGTTTTGAAGTCCAGCATCTACAAGGAATGTCTTGGTGATGCTGTACACTGTACTGGGAAACACAATGTACGTTCGACAATAGTCTTTGTGTCTATTGAGCCAAACACTGCCAATGTACATTGCAGCATGAAACACCTGGCTTACCTTGTTTGTCGGCTTCGGACATCGTAAGATCTACCTTTTTGTGGAAAGCAGTATGCTTGATCTTTATGAGCTGGTTGAAGTTGGAGTCTTCATATATAACATCTGTAGGGTACATGTCCTCTGACACTGCACCCTCAGTCAAAATGTCTGGGATCACTGGTCAAATGTGCGAAAGCAATGTCAGAAAAAGAATCTGAATGCTCATAATAAGAGCACTTAACTTAGTCTCCCAGAGATAGACACTTACGGAGTAAGTGCTCAACTGCTCTTGCCAAGTGGGCCAAGTTCTCAAGAGAGATCATCTAGCCGCTTGGCAATCATGAGTGCATGCAGACTGACTGGTAAGTAACTAGGTAAGTTATTCTACTAATGATAGTAAGGAAATAGTGTAATCCATTTTCTTACATCACTTGCGCTACTTACTTTGAGCATCTCCTGACCAATTTCCTTCTTCTCATGATGATTCTAGGTTCTCAAGCCTCATGAGTAATCTAGATGCTACAAGATAATTCATTATTTTTTCTAACAGAGACTCCATGTCAGTTTGCTGCACTGGTGCTAGACTGTCAAAAGAGGGTGTCAGAAATTAATTTGTGCGGTTGTAGCCAAGGCTAAGGTACTGTATGAAGTGGGATAGGCATGTCATTTAGCTTCACATGTCTCAACCTGTCCTCCCAAGACCACCTGCATAACCTCAAGCTTATCCAAATATGCCTGCAGTGTAGCCAAGCTGCCATGAAGATACAGTATTAAAGAAGATTGATAATGTTTGCAGCATACTGGAGAAAACACAACATGAGCACCCTCTGCAAGCCTCCTCACCAAAGCAAAGTCTGCTGTGAACCCTACTATGACAGGCTTCACCCCAAACGACTTGGACTTCTCTGCCTTCTTCTCAGATCGCACGAGCACAGTGATGTTGAGTGTCACAATCTGCACTCAGATGTACGAGCAGGCAGCAGAGAACAGTCCCGTCAATATACACTGCACAGAGCCAGACACCTCAGATAAGATTGCAGCTGGTGCAGCTGCTTAAACAATGTACCAGTCACATCAATGAGGGACATAGGAGTCTTTGATGGCATGGTGTTCAAGAAATTTGGAAGCTAGTATAGCAGAACTGACAAGGTTGCACTCCAAGTTACCGTATACTCTCAACACTCTGTCACACACACCAGTCTGTGCGTGAGCTCACAGGGTCATCAATCAAAGTTCAAACTGTGTACGCACCACATGCTCTATGCTAATGCATGAGAAAGCTGCGTCCCACACAAGCTCAGGCCTCAGGCCCCTTTCAGTAACCCGTGAGTTTGCAAACTCAGACCCAAGCACTAGTGTGACCAATAAGTGACAAGCCTGTGACTATACGTGACAGCCGTGAAAGCACCATTCTGCCGCGTCGCGCAGGGCGGGGAGCAGGCCCTGAGTTTGTCTGAGGCTGGTGAGTGCAGAAATTATGATATGGTCCCCTGAAATAGTACTGCTGCAAAGAAATGACAAGCTTGGAAATAACAGTGGTCAAGATGAGTAATGAGAGCTTCAAGAGCAGGACTTTGTGCATTTTTCACTGTTCAGCACAGGCCAGAAGGGTTGCCCTAGGTATTACCCTAGCTGATGCTATGGATGCAGCAGGGACTTGTCTTGGACGGCAGAGGCTTGCTTGCAGACGGAGGGCATCACTTTGACTAAGTGGAATTACATGTGCAAGTGACAGTGGGGTGACTGGGCCGGCATGCCAGAACTCGCGTGAGTTTTGAAACTCACGGGTTACTGAAAGGGGCCTCATAAAATTACGTGTCGGCTTATGATCATTCAGACGTTTAACACATCCAAGAAACATGATGCATAGATCATATGATAGCTAAATAGTCATAACATAGAAGTGGTCAGAGGAGGGGGCAGCGTGCCCATACGAGGCTGACATCTACTTGGAAGACTTGGAGACATGGGCAACGTGTACTGCAAGTACCTGTTGCCACTGTCATAGTACATTGACCCATTCAGGTTGTTGTAGTAGTAGCTCCCATCACTAAACACATCAGAGGTCAGCAGGCAGGGGACAATGTTGCAAAAGCACCAAGACACCTACGAGTTAGAGTAGTGGTAGCCGCTAGAGCTGCTCCTGCCGTCGCGGTGGCAGTAGTGGTTGCTCTGGAGAACATAGGGGGGTCAGCGTCGTTGCTTGGAAGCGCAGAAGTCGAGGTACACACCTGGCTGTTGGTTCCACTGCTGGTTGTAGAGTAGCCGTCACTGCCCCAACTGTAGTTTCCCTTGGCCATGGTGAAGAGCTCGAAGGATGTCAGAAGGTAGTTGGGAGTATGTGTATAAGAGAGCTACTATCCACAGTGGGGTATATATAGCATGAAGTCACGTGCCACGCGACGCGTCTCGGCAAGTCCCGACACCGCGTTTCCGTGACGCGTCACACGCGCAGAATCTGATTGGCCCCTGGTGGCTCGGCCAGAATACGAGAATCTAACAAGGGAGCATGAGAGAACGCACTCGAGGAATGGCAGCAACAACGCCACGAAGCTATCGGGATTTGATGGCGGTGTCGGTGTCGGCATCTTGCGAAAGGTGCCGCGCCTGTTTCTGGTCATCCGGATTATTGTAGGGGTCATATCCGCCAAGAATATCACCGCCCAGCCTCCGGCTGTATATTCAGGAGCCCTCCCAGCTTACTACCGCACCAAACTCTCGAGCCCTCATTGGCGATATCAAGTCGGAACATGGTGACAGGGCGCATCCATATCAATGTCATTCCTGAAGACGTCTTCTACCGAATATTCGACGAATTCCTTTGCAAACGAAGTATCTGTTCCTGCTCTCTAGTGTCCAAGAGATGGCGGTCCATGACGTTCCTCCACACCTTCTGCTCTCTTTCGCTCATAGTCAAGTCCGAGAAGTACCCGGGCCCTCCAGGCTGGACGACCAACCATTACGTGCAAGATCTCTTGCAGAACCTTTCTTCCCGTCCATTCAGCACATTGTCCGGCGCCTGACGCTGCAGTGGGGTGGCGACGAAGGAAACCCCATCGAGTTCAACTTTGTCGATTTCATCCCTTCCTTCTCCACTCTATCCAGCCTTACGCTACGGGGAATGGTGGCCAAGAGGCTTCCGGCCTCATACCGCGATGCTATAGGCCTGCTATCACTCGACACTCTCACCGTCCACGGCATTTTCCGGCCTTGGGTACCCCGATTCCACGGAGTCTCGGCGCTTTGCGACGTGCTGAGCATGTTTGGTTCGTTGCGGGCCTTGGTCTTGCGCAATCTGCACCAATGGGTAGGGGATTTCGTCAAACCCCCTCCCCCTATCAAGTGGCAGGCCTGGACCTTGCCGCGGCCGTCTTCACTCGTCTTGGACACCATCACCCTCAGGACATTCCCACATAAGAAGACTGGCATTCTGGAGTCAATCAGAGACCTAGATGTCATGCGGTTAGGGTATCAGTGGCCGGCCGCCGACATCATCCGGTCCTGTAATCGCGGCCTGAAAAAGCTGAGTATTGCTCTGGACTATGAGCTATACCAGGTCCGTGGTAAAGAGCTGGTGCGCAGGCATGGTATGTATTGTATTTGCCGGCATCGTCGTCGTTAATCTCAATGCCCCTCGTTGCTCTCCATGCACAGGTTATGTGGTGCATGACCTGTCACCATTCCACGCGCTGAAGGTCCTGGTGCTGGGTATTAAACCCCGAGTGGAGTTGGTGCCTTACTATTCAGGCGAGCCTTTAGAAGATCCGCACGAAGCGATCGAAATAGCAACGGCGACAATTCGTACACTTGCCGACAGCGCATCCCTCGACTACATCGAGCTCCGCTTCTGGAAATGTCAAAGTAATTTTCCCAACTTGAAGAAGGTGTTTAACCAGGCTGGGGATCAAGTTGCAGTGCTCGAGTCCATACTGCTGCATTGCGTGGAGGCGGGGCGTGTCAGCCATGTGCGGCTTAGGCTGTATGGGGGGGACTACGCAAATCTGGAGTTCTCTCCGACAGCTCTCTTCCCTTCTTCAGACTACGCTTCTACTCTCTTCCCGGAGCTCTTTGAGCATGGTGTTCTCTATGCATACGACGGTTAGAACGGGGACAGAAAGCAATTGGAGGCCGGATCATCTTCGAGCGTCAACGATACAGTCACTGCAGCGCCTCTTCCTGTCAATCGTCGGTTTGACGTTCTCGTGGTCTTTCAAGTGTACTTCAGTGGTTCGCTGCTCTTAGTGTACCGCTGAAAAGATGTAAATTCAACAGAAATTTCCCATTAGTCAAATGATATCACAGTAACCTTTCAAATTATCTAATAGCACTTCCCCATGCGTTTGATTTTGCGAACACTGGTCTCCGGGAACAGGCACGACTCGGTCATGAAACAGACTCAACAACAGAGAGAACCGCTTCGGCGCGGGGATAGCAAGATCTGGGAGAATGCTAAGGCTACGGCTGTAAGCACAGCTCCGCTGTTCTTCATCCCTGCGGTCAGCCTCCCGGAGCTTTGACGGAGATGATTTCGATGACGGCGAACAGAATGCCGGGCGCGGCGGTGATGAGAATAGGGCTTCGATACCGCCCAGCACACTTGAGCGCATTGACGATTCTGCGCAGGCGGGCTGTCTGATGGCCCCCACATCCTGACAATTACTAACATAGGCCCAACCGTGAGTTGAATAGACCTGGATAGGATTATCATCCTTCATGGGATGGGACTGGATGGTACTGTCGCAGAAGTTCCATCTACGTTGGGCGCAGCGCCACAGACGACCGCTGTCCCGATCGCTACACTAGTAATCAGATCGCAGCCCAGTGGCCTGTACGTACGTTCCCTTCCGCATAGTTACGCATTCGGTTCGCACAGTATTGCGTCAGATGCACAGATATGTGGTTATCGGAGCACCACAGAACCTGTCGTCGGCTCAATAACGGAATTTGCCTCAGAAGCCGCCATAAACGATAAGGGAGCTCGTGTTATCGACTATATGCGACATAAGTCAGTATATACGTGGGGTATATAATGAGCTAAAAGGGGACTTAGCACTCACCAGCGACGTTGAAGACAGGCATGGCCTAAAACATTTGGTAGAGCGTTGCATCGCATAAGAGAGCACGTTTTTATCTAAATTTCGGAGCTAACACCGAGCGCAGGCCGCGCGCTGCGACTGCAATATTGGCTGCAGACACGGACACAGGAACTAATACCACGACTGTGGATTATTGCAGCAGGAAGTCGTCATGATGTGATGAACTCTGTTGCCATGCAAGAGAACGGCTCTGCCACAGTCAGAGTGGATAGAGACGGCTCGGGATTGCATGACGTAGCAACACAGACTGGAGAAACGAATATATCAACAACAATCGCGGGAGACAGTAGTATACCTGTTTGGCAATCGGATCACCCTGGTTATGCCAAGCGACTTCCGAAGTCAGTCGACGGATACTTACTAGTAGCGACAATCCATAACACGCGATATAGTGAGATGAGTTAACAAAGTAGAGATTTCACCTTACCACAGCAATCCCTCGCAACAGCCTCGCACCGGGACGTGTCTGATCATGGTCCCCCCTCAATACGATAGAGTTTATGGCCGATTCGGAATATGAAGTACCACGGAGGTGCCACCAGTTCTATAAGGATAAGCTATGCAAGAAGGATCATGTCGGAACTGCGTACTGCGAATGAAACAAAGCACTCACCGCTTTACCAGAGTCGGCAGCCACCGCCAGTGAATTATATGAGCCCGAAACATAGCATTTACATTCAAAGTCACATGGTTTACATAGCAAATTGCTGCAGTCATTGTGTAGGTATGAGATGTCCAGCATGAGGTTTCAGAGTCCGGTTAAGATAACAACAAACGAGCGCGTGAAAGCGTGCGAGAGCGGGATATAGACAAGGTACATGTCATGATTTGCGGTGTGGTGGATCGTTCGGGATAGGCGGTGGCGGGAGCATACGGCGTGACGAGCTCGTGGCAGTTGCCTGTGCGTAGTCTGGAGGCGGCATGTCTCTATGCGGGTTCTCGTCTGGCCATGGGGCGTGTGCGCTCGCGACGATGTACCTGCGCAAAACCAGCGTGAGCAACCGACGAAACCCAATCGTGCACGTCACGGCCACACGCACCCCGACTCTACGTCCCCTGACGTCCCCGTCCCCAAAATCGTTGATGTGTCGAAGGTCGACGCACCATGCGGGCCGGCCGCGTGCGTCGAAGGGCTCAGTGGCGTACGTTTGTGCACGGAGTTCACGACCGGGAAGGGCTCGATGGCAAAGGGGTCGTCCGCGGCAGAGAGGACGTCACCGCCTTTGGACTCGTTGCCGGGCCGCAAGTACTGGATGCGGTCCAACCCCCGGCGCGACCGCCGGCGGTAGAAGAGGAATGCGCCCAGGCCAATGAGGGCAAGAACCACGACGCCAGCAACGACACCGCCGATGACTGGTCCAGATGAGGAATGGTGCGTAGTGCTGCTAGGGAGAAGCGCAAAGCGTCAGTTGATTGTAACTCACGCACAAGGGGTTACGTGACTCACCCGCCGCCATTATCTCCCGGAGCCTTCGTGGAAGCAGCGCTCGAGGAAGATGTCGGCGAAGAGCTGATGGTCGTGCTACTGGCGTCTGGCTGTGACCAATTAGACACTACGAACTTGTCTAGGTCCAGGAAAGTGCTGTCCACGTTCGCGATAGTAACATTATGTTGGCCATTGGATAAGCCGCCCGCCCAATACTGCGTATTACCAAAGGATTGTTCTTTGAGTTCCCGCAAGCCGAAACAGATCGGAGTGCTCACCAGGAGATTTTGGTAGCGGATCCCGATATATGACGGAGTAGTGCCATTCAAAATGAGGGGCTGTGCGCTGTCGAGAGAAACAGAAAATAATCCATGGTTCGTTGAGGTAGCGCCGTAAATCGAAATGGCATTGCCCGTGAAGATCACGGATGCGGATGCGTTCATAACGTTTGTACGGCTGTAGGTATAGAAGACGTTAGCAAAACATGGCAGAGCAGCTATTGGAGCGTACATACTGCATAGTCTGATTATAGTAGTTGTCCTGTAAGCCGTTTGGCGAGGTGTCCCAGCCAATGGAATATTCGGCGTGGTCGTCATCCCAGACGGTATCCTGAGACTGCGTACTGCCAACAACGCATTAGCATCGGGTCAACTTTCCAACACCGCACGGACACTGATTTACCTCGCGTTCCCGTCCCCAGAAGTGATGATGACATAATCGAGGTCTACATACGCTGGTGTCGATGTGCTGTACTTGTTCTGCAGCGCGATTTGGTGCTGTTCCGAGGTATCCAGACCCGTTTGGCTGAACAGCGTCGCGTTGAAGATGTTGATGTTGGCAGACCCGCTGTAGCCGTTTGCAGTTGTGGTTGCGCCGTCGATAGTCACAGCATAGACGTCCTAGATGTTGCCCGAGCAACTCAACAGCCGTTGGCAATCAAGGAGAACATGCTGACGCACATGATTTGGACGCTTGGCTCCGAAGATGTACACAGCAGAGCCGTTGAAGGTCACCGTAGCAGCGGCGCCCTAAACCGCATGAGCTGATGGTCGAGATCATCCGTCCGCCACTTACAAATTGCTCGGTCGGGTGGAACGTGCGGTCTGTGTAATTCGTCCAGAAGGGGTCTGTGTGAGAAGAATCGGTCCACCACTGGTCATACTGGACAAGAGGACTTGCGTCGTCGACTATATTTCGGCAGGAGAAGGACCGTAGTCAGCATTCGTCGCCTGAGGCACAAGAAGCCGCATCCACGTACTCGTCACGTTATATACCGGCATCTTACGGGATCGCGTAATATGATAGGCGATATTTTCAAGGCACAGTCTGAGGGCCGCCTGGGCGCCGGGGGACGGGCGAGGAAGAGGGCGGGGGGCCGCAGGGGGCGGGAGGAAGGAAGGAGCGCAAGTGTAAGTGTGCACAGCTGCCCCGTAGGCTGTTCAACGGCGGCAACCGGCAAGACGGCGAGCTAGACGACATTTGGACCATCTGCATCAATGTCCATGATAGATGTACCGAAGCCTTAAACGCGGTGTGCCTATTGATGCGCCCCTCCCTAGTAAGCGCGACGCGCCTGTTGATGCGCCCCTCTCTAAGAATGAAGCACGCGTCTGCCTCTCTCATAGCAATCGTTGACCGTCTCCGAGCTAAATATCACTTACTGTCAGGAGAGACCAGCCAACGGGTTTGAGTGCATCGTTCTGACCTAGGGCAACCATGACATCTGCTCTTAGCTGTTCAGTTCCTGCCACACAACGAGAACACACGGCAGTCGCTGTGCACTGTGGGAGGCTGGAGCGCAAAAAGATATCGGTCGCTCATTCGCAGGCTGCACCGAGGACCACGAAGTGTGATTCAGGTTCGGGTAGCTTGTGTATTGGCATGATATATCTAGAAGTACATATACCGACACGATTCATTCTTTTGCTTCCCACATTCAGATCCTAGGGAAGTGACCTTCGAGGGGGTAGCGACCGTACAAGTTCTGCGACGAAGCACTTCAACCCTAGTTCACGCCGAGCTCAAGAGGATGTGCTTACGACAGGCTTCGGCTTCGTGCCAATGATATCTTCCACCTTCTCGAGGATAGCCGGCGTGAGCTTGGGAATGACCTCGAGCGCCTTGAGATTGTCGAGGACCTGCTCCGGCTTACTCGCGCCGAGGACGACGGACGATGTGTGCTGCTTTGTGCATAGCCACGCGAGCGCGAGGTGCTGCACCTTGCAGTTGAGCTCTGTCACAGCGCAAAACAGTGTGGGTATGCGTGAAGTGAGAGATTGCCGGAGCGCACGTACCCTTCTCAGCGAAGCTGGAGAGCTCCCGGACCTTGGCGATGTCGGCCTGACCCTCAGGACTCTGCAACCACAGGCGCATCGTGTCGAACTGTGCCTCCTTCTCAGTCGCGAAACGCGAGTCTGGTGGTAGGCCATCGTTATACTTTGACATCCGCTTAGTAACGTAACACTGCCTTCACAAGCTGAGTAACCGACCTTGCCAGTGAGGAGGCCCTGTGCCAAGCCAGAGAAGATGGTCGTGCCGTAGTCGTATTTGCGGTATAGGGGTTCGAACTCTTTCTCGGGTCGTTCGCGGTGGAACATATGGTGCTTGCACTGCTCCACGACGGGCGCTATGAGGTTCAGCTTATGTGCGACGTGGAATGCCTCCTCGATCTCGCGTGCGCTCCACTCAGATGTGCCCCAGTAGAAGGCCCAACCCTTCTCAATCACCCAGTTGAACGCCCGCACAACCTCTTCCATCGGAGCTGGGTGTGGCATGAGCGGCAGACGTTGACGAATGGCGCGGCGTGCTTACTGGTCGGGTCGGGACGGTGCGCAAAAATCACATCAACATAGTCGAGCTGGAGACGCTCCAGCGCCTCCTTGGTTCCCTCGATGATGCTGACGACATTCAATTCAGGTCCTGATTTTCCGAAGCTATTCACTTACTGCTTGCGAGAAAGACCACCATCATTAGGTCCCCGGCGAGTACCCCAGAAGATCTTTGTTGTGACGATGAGGTCAGTTCGACGAAGATTAAGCTCCTTGAGAGCGCGCCCGATCTGCCTCTCAGATTCACCCTTGGCGTACGTTTCGGCAGTATCAATCATGTTGATACCGTTCTCGAAGGCAACTTTGATGATTTCCTGCGATCATAGCGTCATTATCGTTGCGCTTCGCGCGATGCGGGCGGGCGAGTACCTTTACGGGATCGCCCTTGACGGACCCTCCGAGTGTGAGCCCTGCAACACAGTCAGCAGCACACTTGGATCGACTTAACGCGACGCTTACATGCTCCGAGCGAAAAGAGTGGCACGCGCAGACCACTCGAGCCCAGGCGGCGGAAGGGCATGCCCTTGGGGTCGTATACCGGCTTGAGTTCATCAGACATTGTGGAAGATTCTCGACGTGCGAGTCAGAAGGCCGGGAGACGAGAATCACCAGCGCATGCCTGGTCGTCTCTCTTATAACCTCGAGTTTGGCGTGTAAATATAAAAACTTCCCAACCGGAGAATGCTCGGTTTGCTTGCTAATCATCGTGGACGATGGACGCCGCCGGCGGGCCGCATGGATAGCCGACAGGGTGGTTGACTGAAGTATCATATGACCCGCCGTGTGGGACAGATTGTAATATTCTGCTGTGCTTGCTGTGGTGTGGGCACTATCGCACAGATGCTGGTCAAGCCGTACCGGGACTTAGCGCGTACGAGATCCTTGTGCGAAGACCTCACTTTGACAATTATTTCTCACAAAGAGCGTGGGAATGACAGGTTCCCTTTATGAGCGTGTCGCGTCGCTGGTGGTCTCTGCGGGCTCCCCATCGTCCTGCCCACTTCTATCAACTCTTAGAGCGACATCCGACGCGTATATTCTCATCATGTTCTGGCACGACGACCCCTTAGACTTTTATTACGGCTTCGGGGGCGGTTTCGGCGTCAACCGCCGAGGCTTTGCTGCTGTCTCTCAGCGCGCGCGCGACGCGCGAGCAGCTGTCAGCGATTTCTGACCTCTTCGCGTATTTTACTGCAACTGACGCGTGTGTCGCAGGCTGAAAGCATTTTCCTTGAGTATTTGGCCGCCGCAGACACAAGCAAGGGCTCTGCTACCGAAGAGATCATCCAGTTCCACATGATTCCCGACATGCGCAAGGCGTTCAGTAGGTTTTTCAGGGAGCACAGTTGCAAGTACGTCTGTTTTGTACATCTCATCACTGCCCGAAACGCAAACAATAATTTTGAACCAGAGCAACATCCCGACAAGTCACCAGGGCAGAGCAAGATAAGATTAACCCCACAAGGAAGTCGGTGCGTTCGTCGACGCGTCTATCCGAACGTCTGGCCCTGACCTGATTGGCTTTGCATCTTCGACGCACAGCTGATGTGGTACACATCGGTCACCGTCACTCCTGCCGCGCAAAAGGCGTACGTTGAGAAGTATCCTGCCAAGGTCGAAGAATTCAAGAAGAGGCGCGAGGCCGTCTTAGCCGCACGGAACGCAAGAAACGCGAGCGCGAGCAAGACTGCTGCGACGCAGGACCAGCCTGCGGCGAGTGATTCTGAACTCAAATGCACCGCAACCGAGCAGCCCCAGCCCTCTGTAACCCAGATTAAGAAAGTCAAGGCTTAAACCTCATGCTCTGCTCTCCTCTTCCAAAGTCTCAACACTGTCGGAATGTTACGCTCCCTTAATCTTACTGTACGTCCTGTATAGTCCTCCTACACACTTACAATACCTTCTGTGACTCGCGTATTGACCTGGAAACCGAAACGCTGAGACGATCATCCTCGGCGTGCTGTTCTAGTGAGTTCTCGCTGCCTCAGTGGAGTATCAGACACTGACCTACCCTTGCTAAAGCTCGTATCTCGCGTGATTCGTGTAACGTCAGAACGCGCAATCTTATGACCTCACCTGACTTTGAGAGTTGGCATTTTTGACAGTGCCGTTGAAATCCGCTGTACAGCCTCATCGGGACACTGACAGCGGTGGGAGTAAGGCTTACCCCCCATCGCAGAAGCATTTATAGTCTTCAGTTGTCTTGACTACTCAGACTCGGGTCTGAAACTCACCTCTCCTGCTAACCATGTCCCTCAGCCAACTAACGTGCCCAGGCTGGTCACCGACGACGAGCCAATCGAGATGCCCAGCGACACCAGAAGAAGATGCAGCATTCACCGCGATGTGGACGCTCGGCTGGAGGCAGCTGCCATGCGGGGTTAATAGCCAGGTGGGTCTCGGGCACCGCAGTTTCTGTCGCACACTCGACTCGGAGCTGAAGCTTTCGCAGAACAACCATTACTGTAGATTTCAGTATGTGACAGCGGGTGGCGATTGGCAGCAGACATACCGATACTACAATGCGTGCGTCTCTTGCGATAATCGCGTTGATTGGCCCGCTCACCAGCGTTTGACGCAGCAACGGGTCGTACTATTATAGAGGCTCCTCGAACAAGGGCTTCTACTACGACCGTGTAAAGAAGAGGCAGCATATTTCGACGTACGGCGCCAACGGCGAGCTTACAGAGCGCGAGTATCTGCCCATGGAAGTTGAAGAGACTATCATGGTGCCGGTAGACGCCTTTGGTGAGATCCCAATGGAGGTAGATGAATAGGAAGCCAAGTAGAAGAGCAAGAGGGCAAGATCGAAGAAGCTTGTCTATGTACCCTTGATATGACATATGGAAGCTTTGTGGTGAGGAACTGTAAGTCTCACGCTTCCGGGGAGCAGATTATATCATTGTTGTATTGGGGCGGCTTCAACTAACTCAGCTCCATAACATACACAACAGCGAAGAGCTTGGATGCTCGTGGCCCATCCTCGTCCGAGCTAGTGCGGACCCGAGACAGACTCCTTACGGAACCCTGCAATCCTCGCTCATCGGTTTTAGCTAATTAGCAGATACGTGCGACACATTTAAGGGGTCTTACAGGGTCTTACAGGGTCTTACAGGTGTATACTAAGAGGTTTGATGCCCTTGTGGCGCGCCGCGTTCGGTAGATTCTATGATCCAGGATGAAACACCTTATGCCAGTCGCGGTCCGCCATTAATAGCCCCTCTACTTGCCTCATAATTCAAGCCTCCCACGGTTCTCTCCCTACATACTCGTGCTGAGCCACTCAAGCTTGAGCAGCATGCCCCTCCTGCCGAGAGTTAAGAAAGAACTCCAAGACGCCATCCTGACTTCCGACATACCCAACACTAAAGATTTGATCGATTTCGTCAACAACTTCGCCTCTGATGCAGACATCGATGCGATAAAGGGGCTCCTCAATGCCGCGAAGAGCGTGAGCGCGCTGAAGACCTTCCGAATGATGAGACGAGAGGCGCAGACGAAGAGACATTGCGTACGCTGCCACGGCTCTTACGGAGGAGAGCAATACCGACAAGAGCTGCCTCATTCCACACGTCTTCGAGTCCGACTGTTACTTCACAGGCGGGGCGTCAGACGGGGAGAAGATATATGGGTACATGGGACTGTGTTGCATGGACCTAGAGCTCCATGAGGGAGGGGCAGGCAATGCGAACTATCTAAACGTGAAAGAGATGGGATCGTGCTTTGTTGGGACGCACACCACAAACATCGAGGAAGCCGAAGACGAGTACAACAATGTGAACATCGTTCCCTGCAAGCAGGACGGCTCTGGAAAGTGCACAAACGCATTTTTGAAGCCGCACTCGCCGCACTTCCGCTAACAAACGATCGGCGGTGAGCGTCCCCGTAACATCCTTGTATCGCGTCTCGCTCATCTTATTCCAGCCACGCGACAAAGGGCAGCTGAAGGGAGATCCCCGAGTACGGCATAAAGTTCCTGTTCAATCTATGGCATAGAGACAAATGCATGCTTTTCTCGGAAATGGCGAGTGTGTACTCACGCACATACGGCGAGTCGTTTGAACGCAACAGGAGTTCATAAGCACGACACAAGTTCAATTCAACCTGTATTATGTTCACATGCAATGGTTGGCTTCGTGTCTTCACTAGCTCACAGCTGATGTGGCATGGGTCGGTCACGGTCACTCCGATCCTGCCGCGCAGAAGGCGTACATCAAGAAATATCCTGCAAAGATCGAGGAGATCAAGAAGAAGCGTGAGGCCGCCTTGGCTGAGAAGGACACGAGCGCGAATAAGGCCGCTGTGACGCAGACTCGGCCAGTCGCAAGCGGGTCCCACCAGAAACTCGCCGCAACGGATGCAGGCTTGCATTAAGTCAGCGAACAGGCGCCACATCCCGGTGTATCTCAACATCATTAGAATTTTATGCTCTGGTAGTCCAGGTATACGTTCTGTATCGCCCTCTCGCAGACCTTGCCCCCGTAATATTGATACTCTACTGTTGCTTATTCATTAACCACAATCTGAAGCGCTGCCGGTGACTGTCCTCAGCATGATGCTCTGCCAAGCTCTCGTTGCTTTCTTCGAAATTCCAGGGACTGAAATGTGTCCCAGAGCCACAGAATCTGACCTCTGACGACCAAAACTTTGTCTTTGCTGCAAGTTCTTACCGCGCATGACGTCATGTCGCACAATCCTTTGGACAGAGTCACGGCGGATGCTAGCGGTGACGGATTAGGAGCATATATGGCCCTCGATCGAACCTCAAACTCTCCTGCGAACCATGGGTTCCAAACAATCAACGTTCCCAGTGTGGTCGCCTCCAACGACCCATCCAGGGTGCCCAGCGACGCTCGCAGAAGATATTGCATTCACCGCGGAGTGGACGCGCGGGTGGAAGCAGCTACCGTGTAGGGTGTTCAATCGATGCATGTCCGACAGGCTGGTGAGTCTATGGGCACTGCAATTTCCACCGTACACTAGAGCTGAAGCTCTGGCAGGAGGAGCACGTCTGCCATTTTATATATATGGGAAGGAACGGCGAGTGGATGATTAATAGCGGATAAGTAGGACGAACTTTATAGTTTGCTGATAGACATACTGCGTACGGAAGAGCAGTACTAATGTTAGGGTGTGGGTTAATGTCTAGAATGCAATAGAGCAGTAGAATGGGCGGGCGGGACGACGTCAGGGACGTGCTTGAGGGCGCACCGTAACCCAGATCTGGAAGGGACGCATCTTGCTTCCGCTTGACACCAGGACCCGGGATACCGCTCGCCTCGCGGAAGTATTGATTGGCGTTCACTCCACCATGCGTCATTGAGCAACCAGTTCCTCTGTTGCCAGCTGTTGCCAGCCCAGTTTATTCTCTCTCTTCATCTCTCTCCGGCATCCAGAAACTTGACGACACGGCAAAGACATGAAACGCGAGCCTGCTTCTGAGTCCCGCGGGAGCACGCCTGCCCAAGACAGCGATCTCGAGGGTGCTGAGGTCCTCACGCAAACCACGCACACGGAGAGGATCGTATCCGCTACATTCACCGACGATGCGAGCTGGGAAGACGAACCAGAATATAACCTAGCAAATCCATACGAAGTTTCGCCCTCACCACTTGCAAACGGCAGGTCGACCTTCGCGCGGAAGCGCAAGCCAATGGCTAAGAAGAATTCCGTCGCTCAGCCGGGCACGATTCGCAGGGGCTTTGCAAGGGCGAAAGGCAGCCTCTCAGATAACATTCCCCCACTTGTTAATGTCAACGGCGAGCAAGTCCGGCACGCAATCAACGATGGCGCTTTCTACACGCTCGAATACTCTTTTGACGTGCTCAAGACCTCTCTCCGCCTCCTGCGCAAACCCCTTTCTTTCCTCCTCTTCCTATACCTCCTCGCATACCTCCTCACCCTCGCCTCGAGCGCGTTCCGGACCCTGTTCGCCCCCATGTGCTGGATCCCGGGTCTATCACGCACGCCGATATGCTACACCCCGCCCACGCCGCCAAAGGTACCCAAGTGGGCGGACTACGCGAAGCTCGCGGAAATGGAGAGCTCGACGTTCGAGCAGCTCCTCGACTCCACCGTGGGCAACTCGGCGCTGAGCCTCGAGATCAAAAAGGCCGAGATGGCGACACAGGACCTCGTCGCGCTTGTCAAGGCCAGCGACTTCACGAGCAAGGACATGCTCGCGAGTCATCTCGAGGGTTTTGTGGAGGCTGCCAAGAGAACGGGACGCGGTTTGCAGAGGTTCAGCGCGCGTGTCGGCGGCGCGGTAGACAGGTATGCGTCTACGGTATCCTTACGTAATTTTTACTCTGACACGCTTGTAGCATCGTCGCCGTCAACGACCACGCGTTCCACACCATCCAGGACCACGTCAAGTCCAAGTCCGCGCTGAGCCTGCTCAACCCGTTCAGCACCGCGCTCACGACGCAGCAGGTGGTCACGCAGACCTTCGCGGACGCGATGTCTGTGCTCTCCGCGCAGATGCAGCGCGTCGTGCTCGAGGCAGAGGTGAACATGCGCAACCTCGACGCGCTCGAGGAGCAGCTCTTGACGCTGCACGAGATGGTGCACCGCGAGAACAGGACGGTCTCGGCTGCGAAGGAGGAGCTCCTCGCCGAACTCTGGACCGCCCTTGGCGGGAACAAGCGCAAGCTCCGCGGGCTGAACGGCCACCTGTTTCTCCTCCGCAACATCGGCGCGTATCGTTCACGTGCGGCTGCACATGTCGCCGCGGCGCTCCAGGCGCTTGAGGGCATGAGTGAGGACATGGAGGACCTCCGCGAGCGCGTGGCTGCGCCGGAACTCATTGGCGAAAGGATCCCCGTTGAGGTGCACATGAAGAGCATCAGAGCGGGCCTGGAGAGGCTCCAGCAAGGTAGGACCCGCGCACAGGAGCGCGAGGAGGAGACTGTACGGCGGTTGCTTGGCGTAGAGGAGGAGGATAGTTGAACGACGACGACACTGACAAACACGGAACGCTGTACTATTTATCATATTAGTGATTTATGTAGCAAGTAGCTGAGTGCTGAGTTTTCTTGGAATCAAATTTTTGATTGTGCTCTCTTCGGCGTCAGGTACTACTGTGCACTCTGAACAGAACTTGGTGATGCATATACGCACATGAATTGGTCAATGGCAGAAGGTATATAACCAATGGTTTAGTTGTGTGAATGACGACAACGCATAGGCGAGTCACTATACAGGATACTGCGTAAGAAGAAAACTAACGCTACCCGACGCGGCTTGTCTCAGCTGAGCAGTGTCCAGAATGTTCATGTATGGGTAAGGAATGATGTCGTAAACGGGAGGTTTGAAGTGATAAGGATTCTGCTCTGGGTAGCAGCGATAAACCTCTCATGGCATGTATGTACATATACGATGCACTGTTCCTACATCTCCGAGATCCTCTCTTCGGTTCGGAATGTTGACATAAGTACATCAATCGTCGATTAAAGACTCAATAAGGCTGCGACCAGCCTCAGATCGAGGCTTAAAGACCGCACCGAAAGGCACAGGGTGGCTGATGAAATATTCGCAAGCGAGTTGTCAAAACCTCTGCCTCTGCCAGATTAAGCGGAACTCACACTACGAATCCGGATGTATACTCTCCGCTCGGTTCGACGACTTTTCCAGCATCGTCTACAGGCTTCTCAATGTTGTATATGGCTAGAATGTGCACCATGGCAATCCAGATGGAGGCCATAGCGAAGTCATTTCCCGGACAGATGCGCCTACCGAAGCCGAACACAGCCATATTGGTGGCGTCCAACGTCGTTTTGCTGAGCTGTCCGTCCGGCGTGAGCCAGCGCGTGGGGTCGAAAGTGTCCGGGCTCGGGAAGCGGGCTGGATCATGCAAGATTGCCCTATACGAGGAACAGCATGAGTACAGGTGGGAAACTGGGGCAAGCGGGACCGAGCACCATGCGTTGCTGACCACCGCAGCACCTGCTGGGATATGATAGCCATTATATTCATCATCAACCATCACGCGATGCGCTATCCCTGAATGCGTGTGTGAGTTATCCCTTCTAGCGGTAATATGCTACTACTAGACGCACCGAGCGGAGCTACAGGACGCCACCTTCCAGAGCCGGTAGAGTGAGTAAGAAGGCTTGCCGTTGTTTCAGTCACTATTGGTCTATCACTAAAACGTACCTCAGGACTTCGTACATAATGGCCGCGACGTAAGGCAAGCTGTCGCGGTAAGTGAAGTCCGGAAGACAGGCACTTCCAACGACACGGTCGATCTGTTCTTGAGCAGTAGACTGCACGGCGGGATTCATGACCATGGCGAGTATGAAAGTCCCAAGAGCAGAAGCAGTCTACGAGGAGAATTAGCCTGAGGCCATTCAGCAACAAGATAATTGTAGCATCAAACTCACGCTATCCGCACCCCCTACAGTTGATGGTGTCAGCGGTTGGCGTATCCAGATGCCAGGAGACTCACCTAGGTAGGCCACTCCTGTGACATTTTGAATAACGCGTTCGCGCTTTGACTTCTCCAAGTCCTCCTTGTCGTCCATATTTCCCAGAAGGGTTGCAGCAACGCAAGGCTCTGCGATTCCTTGAAGCTAGCGATCAAGTATGGCACGTCAGCGTCTGACCATTTATAATGCAACTTAGCCTTTACCAAAGCCTTTTTGACAAACTCGATTGGCTGCTCAAACATTAATGTTAAATGCTCGTTTAAGTCCGCCGCCTCATGCTTGAATTGCCCGCCCGGAGCCCACGACGGTATGTACCGCACTAGTCAATTGAGCAGTGTACTCTGCCAGTACGGCTCGGACTTACTCAGTGGTATAGAGTCGACTAGTATACGATCAGCAAAGTCCCACGAACGGTACGGTAAAGGCTCACCCATGTACGACCCTGGCGTGGCTGCCACCAGTAAACGATTTATAGCTTTCTCAGCTAAGAGCACATATAGATTGTTGTGATCTTGAATCTCCATGCCAAACGTGATACCAAGTATAATCGCGCCCGCGAAGCTGTTACCCCAATGCTAGTCACGATTTAAGAGATGGATTTCCATTAATCTCCACTTACACGCGAAGACTCTGCATGAAGTCGTGAGTTGTAAGAAGGCGAATGGTAAGCTTTCTGGCTTCTTTGGCCATTCTAGGATGGTAATTCTCGACTACTTGACCGTGGTAATGCTGGTGGAAGATACGACGGTGTTCTCGCCAGTCGTCACCATATCCCAAGAACGCAAAAGCCCTATCTCCGCCGACACTGGAGTAAAGTGAGTGTCGCATATAATCTGACGACCGCATAGACACTTACAAGTCATGAACCACGACTAGGTGCTGTCTACAACATGATGTCTGAACGTGGAATCTTCCCTGATGACCGGAATGGATCGCCATACCTGTCGGAATAAAAGGAAGATCGCTTCTCAAGCAGATCCACCGCGGCCATGGCTGAGTTGAGAACTACGACAGAGCCACCCAAAAGGCGCAGATAAATAATGTCCGAGTCTGACAATGTGCGATGGAGCCTGGTGAAGAAGCCGTCGTGTAAAGTAGAAGATCCACATACTATATTCACGACCCCATCGCTGGTATGTCAACCACCCACGCCCATCGCGAGGCACATCCAACACGTTCCCCAAGATTGGCAGTCCCTTCGGGCCAGGAGGAAAACGGTGCTGCTTCCTTAGGATAAAGTATATCACAACGCTCGCTTTACAGCCTGTACCGCTGGCGCATAATTTACTTCGACGACGAGCCGGAGAAGCCTAAACCCCTCATTTTATCCATCCGCCGGTCCGACTCGTTCGCTGTAGTTCACTTGTGCAGGCTTTTGAGAGCTCTCACCTTGCTTCCAGCAGCATTGTACGAATGTAGCAGACAGAAAGACCAGGAATCTATCATTCACGAAGTTGTCTACGATGACGAGATGCTCATCTAAGCGACAGTGACATGCTGCTGTGTCTTGTCACGCGCCATCGTCTCATACAGGAAAATGCACGTTGTAACTGGACTTCCTCGCTGGTGCGGCTGCTGCTGCGCTTCAAGGAATCATCGCAACTCACCACTGCTTCTCGCGTCGCTCACCCACGGACGCGCGAGACAGACACCGCTGACTCGGTTGATGCGGATGACTCTGCATGTAATAATGTTAATAGGCGAAAATCTGCAGCTTCCGTCATTTAATTTGACAGGTGAGCCACCGCGTCATTCCTTTCTATAGCCATGCGTGCTAACTAGAATCGCAGAAACCCTTCGCGTCTTCCTGAATCTACGATGGATTTCAAAATGCGTCACGTTTCCTCTGTACAATTGCGATAAACAATGGGACGCGCGTTCTTCTACTCGATGAAATCCCGGCGGGCCCAACGTTTCCACTTCGTATCCAGGTACAATGAAAGTTCTGGAGCCAATTCATCCGAAAAGCATGTGTAATACGTCGCTTATCTTTCCATTGATATGTATGCCAGGCTTCTGGAAGCTGAGCTTGGCGCGTGGTACTTCCTGCCACATAGCGGGAAGTCAGGTGCAGATTGGGCTGGCAGCCGTGATGTCAAGTTTATAAGCTAGTACCGGACACCGGTAAGCCGCAGCATTTTCTGCTAGCCACCGAGATGGCTCCTGAAGTTCTGTATTTCAGCAGTCTGGTAGCTGTCCTCATCGCGCTTTCGCGTCGAGCCGATCTGGGAATCTCACCAGCATCTCTTGTACTTGAACTTTCGCCACAATGATGACAACCAGAGGTAGGTAGCGAATCTGGATACGCTGTCTTTCGTACTGTAACCAGTCACTACAGCAAAGTGGCGACACGTGGACGTGAATACCCAAGCACAGAAAAGAACGACGTACCGCGCACCAGAGCTTTCCTCCTAGCCAGGGTCAGATAATCTGCAGCAGCTGCGCGTACAACTCTCCGTTGTCGTCCGTCCGCGACACCGGGCAGCCATCCAGCTTTGGCAAGCTCGCGAGGGCAGGAGCACTCAACAGCCCCTTCAACACGTCTTAATGGGGCGCAAGCAGGCCAGAATGGACTTTGCAGGACTTCGCTCGCGCGGCGAGCACAACATCGCCCCCGTTGAACCAAAGGCTAGCATGATGTTCGCCGACCGCTTTTACTGCACCTTCTCTGGCGGAACCGCGGGCTTTTCAACCTTTGACCTCTTGATCGGCGCGTCCTAGGTATCGGTGCGGCTGCGGCTGCGTGTGGATCTTCTCATCACCGGTCGAAAGAGAGGTCGTGGAGGTCAGAGTGCATTGGCGCAGTGCGATCGCGTGAGCGCTCCTTACGTGAACACGATGATGACCGCGTAGCAGCGCGAAAGTTTTGTTGAACGGCCCCACATAGACTTGAAATACCGCCATCCACGCCAGCCGTATCCTACGGCTTCAGACCTCAGGTTGACATCAGAAAGGCTTGATTCACACTGTCGTTCACTCGTCGCCACATGAGCTCGCAGTCTGGGAGGCTCAATTTCTTTCCTTCAAAAAGCTAAGCTTTTGCATTCTCCGTCTACTGTAGCTATACGCTACCTAGTCACCGAAACATCTGCAGAACAAACCGTATGTATTGTGACTTATCGCACAGCGGCTTGCAATGAAGGAAAGCGTGACACGCTCTACTCACCTCTTAATGCCAGCCGTTGAGGAGATGGTGACTACGCGGGCATGCATTGTATGCGGACGAGACAATTATGCCCTGCGAGTTAAGGTTCCTAGCCAAATCTTTCCTGGATGTCTACACTCTTAGGCTGATAAGATGTTCGATAGACAATAGTATGTGTGTAGCACGAACATGGAAAGCTATGCTGTCTATCATTCTGTGATCTATGTAGTTAATAGTTGAGTGCTGATTTTCTTGTAAATGAGTATCTGATTGTGCTCTCTTTGGTTACAGGTTGCGCAAGACTATTCGCGCCTGTTGTGCAAACTCCGAACAGGATCCCCGAACTATATGCGATGCATGTACTCGCCTGAACCGGTCAACATCAAGGATATGCTCCTATATACGTGCCACAAATTTGTAGTTCATCCGATGTATCCGGCCCAACCGATCCGCTTATTGGGAAGCTTCCAAGTGAAGGCATCACAGCACGAATCAAACAGCGCGAACGGCGGTGCTTACCAGTTGCATGTAGAAAGTGTCCCAGCCTTCCTGGAACTCGAGGAAAAGATCACACCCAGAGAGCCGAGGATCCGAGGCGCACATCGCAGAGTTGAAGTTGGTCCAGACAACGCGATCATCTGGGAGTAGGAGGATATTTCGTCTATCGATGTCACCGTGTCGCACGTAGGCCGCATGAATGGTGTAGAGAGATCTGATAGCTTTCTCCGCCAGCTCGTATGTCACGCTCTCGGGAGAGTGTCCGCGCATCCGGGAAGTACTCTAGGAGGATGCCCTTCGGGAAACGACCCTCCTGGGCCTTTCGCAGAAGGTCTTTAATGCTCCTCGACTCGCAATAGGTTAGGTGAGGCGCGACACGAGCTCGTCAGGGAGAGCTATGCTTGGCAAGGGTGGAGGAGAATGATATTCCGTGAAAGTAGATGCCTCGTTCTGCGTCGTTTCCTCATCGCACTCCGCAATAACAAAGGGATATCGATCACTCATCGACCAGAAGACATTAATCCCGGTTCGTCGCACGATGTTGAATGCCGCTTGCTTCAACTGCGGCGTATCGAGACTTTCGATATCGTGGTAAGGGACGAGATTGTAAATCGGTGGAGACGCATCGTATGGGTTCTTTTCGGGACAACAGCGATAGATGTCCAAGGTGTTATAGATGGCTGTCGTCATTCTGAAGCGGTGCGCCAGGGAGAAAATCAGATCCAAGAGACCGCGTTATATGCGAGCTGGAGAACAAGGTTCATTAACGTTCATTTATGAGTATTGTCCTCTTTTGCGAATGGCGTCACAAGAACCGCTTGATCCGATCGACGGTGGCCGCCCAATCGATGTGGCGCACGCGGTGACTGTACTGGCCGTATGAGTGTTCGCAGGAACTGTAAATTTCGAACACGAAGGTGTACCGTGATGCGACCTGTGCGCGAGGCACCTGCGTTGAGGAAGGGGAGGCACGCAGCATGAAAGGTGTCAGCTAAATAGATGAACTTCTGCTGTATGTAAGTACTATGCTAGTTCTGTGTGCAGAAGTCAGAGACATGCCAAGGAGGTGTTGACTGAGGTAGAAGTACCGGACAAGGCGAGGGCGGACAAGCGCCTGGGGCAGTAATTTCTCACGTCGGGACTATAAATCTCAGGAAACTGCGTTGTATACGGGGACGCCAGCCAAATTTCTGATACCTGGTGCATGATAGCGAACGCACAATTCTTATATTTCCTTGCAACAATGCATTCACGCGTCACAGCAAAGCACGAGCTCGCGGCTCTTCGATCTTGATCTCCCGCTCCTCGACCTTGACTGGAGTCTCGGGGAAGGCGTCCACCGGCACCTCCGTGGTGTCGTCGTCTTCCATAGGCAGATACTCGCGCTCCAGGAGTTCGTTGTTGGCGCCGTAGATCGAGATATGCTGCCTCCTGTTGACAGGGTCATGATAGAAGCCCCTGTTGGAGGAGCCCCTATAGTAGTACGACCCGCCTCTACGCCAAACGCCTGTCAGTGAGCCAGAAGCAACGAAACCGACTGCAACAAATGCACTCGTTGTAGTATCGGTATGTCTGCACCCACTCTCCGTCTTATACAGAGGTTTACAGTAGTGGTTTGTCCGTGGCAGCTTCAGCTCGAACATGCGGTTGACAATGTGTGACGCCCACACTCACCCGGCTGTTGACCCCGCACGGCAGCTGCTTCCAACCGAGCGTCCACATCGCGGTCAACGCTGCGTCTTCTTCTAGCGTCGCTGGGCAGTTTGGATGGGTCGTCGGAGGCGACCATCCGTCGCAATAAACGCAGCATCCAACTTCTGGGATTGTGCGATATGACGTATGCGGTAGA